ATGGACGGGGTGAGCTGGCACATTTTCTTGCGAGACCTGGACCTCGCATATCGCCTTAGATCGCTCCCTCCGATTGAGACGGAATATATCGAGTGGTCGGACAAGCAATTTCGGTCCGCTCAGCGAGGAGACTTCACCAGACAACTCGATTACTGGCGCAAGCAGCACTCGCCTCCACTCTCTGTCATGCCACTGTTACCAATGGCTCGGACGGATTCTCGCAAGCCGCTCACCACATATGACAGCCATGTCGTCAGCGCCGAAATTGATCGGGGGCTGGTGTCGCACATCCGGCAAGTCAGCCAGTCTTTGCGCGTCACTTCCTTCCACTTCCATCTAGCCGTGATCCAAAGCATCCTTTGCCGCTTGTTGAAGATAGAGGATCTTTGCATTGGAGTCGTAGATGCGAACCGAAATAATGAAGCTCATTCGGGAACTGTGGGATTCTTTCTAAATCTTCTTCCGGTCCGCTTTAATACGAAGAAGCACAGCACATTCCAAGATCTGGTTTCCTCAACCAGACGCACAATTCTTGAAGCCCTTTCCAACTCAGATACGCCGTTCGATCTCATTCTCGAGGATCTGCATGTCGTGCGACATGCAGAATACAGCCCCTTGTTCCAAGTCGCTGTCAATTATCGCATGGGCGCAATGCTCCAGGTTCCACTTGGAGACGGCAAAATGGAGATGTCGTCTGCCGACGACGCAAAGAACCCGTACGACCTCAGTTTTGGGATCACAGAGTCTGCGACGGGGGCTTGCTTGATGGAACTGACTAGCCAAAAAGAACTGTACACGGAGCAGTCTACAGAGCTCTTGCTACAGATGTACGTGGACGTCCTTCGCGCTGCGTCCGACAATCCTTCACTTCCTGTCAATCAGCTACCAGTCACGTTGGAATCGTCACGCGGGGAAAGTCTTGCCGTCGCAAAAGGCCCCAGGGTTGATTATTCTTGGCTGAACACCCTATGGGAACGTTTCGACGCGATCCAGAAGTCGTACCCGGAGGAAGCTGCCATCAAGGACGGGAATTCAGACATGAGCTACTCGCAGCTGGCCAGAAGGGTTGAGCAACTTGCCGGGACGCTAATCAGCCAAGATGTTGCCGCTGGAGATAGAGTCGGTGTTCTCCTTCATCCGTCCATCGACGCCATTGCTTGTATGCTGGCCTCGCTGCGCGTTGGATGTATATATACACCCCTCGACACGCGACTGCCGCTGGCTCGATTGAATACCATTGTCGATGGCTGCAAAGCCTCGTTGGTCTTTTACCACGCTGCAACCCGTGACGTTGCTCTGGAACTTGGAAAGTTTGCCAAACTGGCCGATGTCGACGATATAAGGGGAACGGTTTCAGCGCAAGTACCGGCAGTTGCGCCTCCATCAAATCTGGCGTCTTTCCTGTTCCACACCAGCGGCAGTACCGGGGATCCGAAAGGCATTCTGCTTACCCAACAAAACTTTGTGAATCATCTGGCTGCGAAGACTGACAGACTGGCTCTCGGCAGGGAGGTTGTTTTACAACAGAGCTCGTTGGGATTCGACATGTCCGTTGTGCAGACTTTCTGCGCTTTGGCCAACGGTGGAACCTTGGTCATCGCACCGAAGGAAGCGCGGGGAGACCCCGTTGCACTGTCCAGACTTATTGCAAAGGAACGAGTGACGCTGACGATTGCCACGCCCTCGGAATACTCCTTGCTGATGCGCTTCGGACTTGAGCAACTCCAGAAACCCTACGCATGGAGACATGCCTGCATGGGCGGCGAAGTCGTGTCGCGGCAGTTGATTCAGCAGTTTTGCCAGCTGGATCATCCTGATTTGCAGCTGACCAACTGCTATGGTCCAACGGAAATCACCGCTGCTGCAACATTCCAAGACATCCCTCTCCAATTGGAAGACCAGAGTACTACTGATGGATCCCCGGTGGGAAAGCCCTTGCCCAACTACTCGGTCTACATCATGGACGCTTCTGGATCTCCGGAGCCTATTGGTATCGCCGGCGAGATCTGTATCGGAGGTGCTGGTGTTTCACTAGGCTATTTGAAATCTCTCGAACAGACTGACGCGAAGTTCATTCAGGACCCCTTTGCTAGCCCAAAGGATATTGCCTGTGGTTGGACGAAAATGTACAGAACAGGAGATATGGGGCGACTTCTCGAGGATGGCACTTTGGTTTTCATGGGCCGCATGGACGGCGATAATCAGGTCAAATTGAATGGTGTGCGGATTGAGCTCGATGGAATTGCCAACAGCATTCTCGCCACTGGACATGATCTGGTGTCCGAAGCTGTAGTCACCGTTCGTCCTGGCTCCGGCTCCGGTTCGCCACTCCTCGTGGCTCATGTCGTCCCTCTTCGGGCCCCCGTTGACGTCTCCAGACTTCAGCAGCTCGCCAGAGATCTTCCACTGCCACCGTACATGCTTCCGTCCGTGGTCATTGCCCTGGACCGCCTGCCTACCAACGCTAATGGGAAGGTTGACAGGAAGGCCGTCATGGCACTGCCCCTGCCAACCCACCCCGCTGAAAGCGCGGCGGGTACCGGCCTTGGTAATGCAAGGCATCTCAGCCTCGCAGAGGGCGAGCTACGCCTGCTGTGGGAGAAAGTCCTTCCGGTCTCCGGTGGCCCGTCACGACTAGATGCCGATTCAGATTTCTTCATGCGAGGAGGAACATCCATGCTGCTGGTCCGACTCCAGGGTGCTATCAAGCAGTCGATTGGGGTTTCAATCCCCATCGCGGAACTGTACCAGTTTCCGACTCTCCTTCAAATGGCGAGGCGAATCAGTCGCCGTAAGGAAGAGCTTCAGGTGTCCCACACATCAGTAATTGACTGGGATTCCGAGACCTCACAGACCCAATGCCTCATCTCCGCAGCTCAAAGCCAATACTCGACACGTCAAGCAAAATTCCATGACCGTCAGGAGATCTTGCTTACCGGTTCCACTACTTTCCTCGGCAAAATAATTCTGCAGTCCCTCCTCCACAATCTGCGCGTTGAACGAGTGCACTGCGTCGCTGTCCCCGCGGAGGATGCGTCCCTCCTCCCGTCGTCCGACAAGATCGTCATCTACGCCGGCAGCCTCCTCACGCCCAATCTGGGGTTGTCGCAGACAGAGATGGCGGACCTTCAATCCCCCATAGACGTCATCATCCATGCCGGGAGCACGGGGCACTGCCTGAACAACTACACTTCCCTACGCACTGCGAACCTCGGCTCAACGAGGTTCTTGGCGGGCCTTGCTCTTTCACGCAGAATCCCCATCCATTTCATCTCGTCCAACCGTGTCACCTTGCTCTCTGGCAATACCAGTCTCCCTCCGGTCTCGCTTTCAGCCTCCCTACCCAACCCGGATGGCTCCGAGGGCTTCACCGCCAGCAAATGGGCCTGTGAACGGCTCCTTGAATCAGCCGCCGTACTCGAACCTGGACTCCCCGTTACGATCCATCGTCCGTGCGCGGTCATTGGAGACGAGGCGCCAAACGAGGATGCTCTGAATGCTCTTCTGAAATACTCCAAGCTCACGCGCTGTGTTCCGCGTTTCGAAAACTTCGAAGGGTATCTTGATTTCGAGGACGTACACAGGGTCGCCGGGGCGATAGCGGCAGACGCTCTGTCTACTGCTGAGTCAAAGACGAGCAAGTCTACTACACGATTCGTGCACCACTCCAGCGGGCACAAAGTGTCCATGAAGGACTTCAGAGGCCGAATGGAGACATTGTTCGCGTGTCCGTTTGAGGAGGTTTCTATGGCTGAGTGGATTGAACGCGCATTGCAGGCTGGTATCGATCCACTGATCACGGGATACTTGGAGGCGATGACGATGAAGGGGGAGACGATTCGGTTTCCTTATATGGGAGAGACGGGATCGCTTTGAGGGTCTGTGCGGAGTACTTTTGTGCCAATTGATTTGGGTTTCGTCTGATTTGCATCTTGTTGTTGAGATGAAGGCTACGGCATGTGACCGGCACGGAAGAACCACTCTTCCGTGCACTGGCCAAAACACCCTCTCTAGCCCCCTGACGGCTCCCAGTTGATTAATCCATCCAATACACAAGATATATCCTGAATCCTACATCTGTAGAATTAACACTTGTATGTATACGCAGTAAGCAGAATACAATTAGATGAATACCGGATCTGATCTACCTGGACATCTCTCTTGGAATAGATGTACTGACTACTGAGTGACTACTTTCACAAAATACTTGGTGCCATTGGACCCTTAGGCTGACTCAAGAGTACGGTGGCAGTGCCGCAGAGCCCTTTTCTGCCGTTGGGGGCAAAAATATCATGTTTCATAAGCTTAGGAAAGAAAAGTGTTTGGACTCTGTCGAAGCATGCTGCATGGATCGCTCCTTGCCAAGACAAGCCACGTGATCGGACTTGCTCCTGATAGCTTCCACAGACAATGACACAGACAAGATCATCCGCACCATATCGTCCGAGACACTAGAGACACAAGACTTTGACAGACTCCTGCTTTGTGCTGGAGTCGGTGTGGAGCGGCAGAACGCCCACATGGTTTGCTATTTAGTCTTCTCCATCTCAACAAAAAGTGTCAGGAAAATGGAGATTAGCATTGTATTGACGCGTCAGGCAACGTGGATCCCTGTTACTCCGGCCACCGCCAAAATAAAATGGGTCCCGTAGCAACCTCTGTTTTTGAACACCAACGATGCCCCCAATTCGCTCTCAAAAGGCTCAAAAATTGGTTGAACAGGAGGGCCGCCTTCTGTTAGCTATTAAAGCTATAGAAAACCTCCTCCGCAAAGGACAAACCAACACCAAAAAAGACATTACCTAGTACAGGTAGCTGATGACAATAACACATGATGGCCTGAACAAAATCTGGAAAATCTCCGTCACAAAAATCAGAGCTACAGGAGCCGGAACCCATGAAGGAAAGGGGCCACGTTAGAATAGCAAATCATCGTGATCCCCCTGCCCACTTAGCCTATATACTCTCTTCCATCCCTATTCTTAATCAATGATCTGAACTCAAGTATACTGATCATACCCATCGAACTGTATCCCGACTTCCGGATAGGGCGGATCAGGCTTGACCGGCACCCAGTCGCTCGACTGATTATAAAACTTCTGCACGGTGGGCAAGAACTTGCTATCCCTGGAGCAGAACCGCAACGCGTGGGGGAATGGCTGATCCTCCAGGAGCTCATGGCGGATCAGCTCGTTGTAACTAAAACAGGCGTCATTCGCCTTGCTCCACTGGCGCAGCTTTTCCCAGTCTTTGCACTGGCGGTACTGGCCGACGGCAGTGGTGGCCGTGCCCGTTGCATCGACGGGGATGTAGCGCGGGGTGTCGTCGGCGGCGCACATAATGTCTTGACGGACGTTGTCGAGGCAGTGGATGAGATGCTCCGTTGGGTAGCTTTGCTTCACTCCTTTGCGGTATTCGAGATTGGATCGGTGGAGAGATTTCTTACGGTTCGGAGTTAGATGAATTACAACCATGGTATGACCAGGGGCAGAGGGGGGGGGGAGTACCAGGCAGTGCAGGCTGTGCATGGAAGTAATCATGTAGACGCTGTAGTTAGTATCCCACGGGAAATTTGCCGACGGAGGGAGACCTTTCTCCTTGGCCTCCTCCTTTGAAAGCGCCACATTGATATAGTCAATCTCCATGTTGACCCAGGCATGGTCACTCTCAGAGATGCTCTCGGTGCTGTACGGGGTGGAGGCCTGCCACGCAACCGGATGATCATCCGCCAATCCCGCTGAGGACCGACCATTCTTCAATCAGAAACACGAAATGCAAGCAGAGGCTGAGTGGAAAGCAGAAGCTAAACTCACCATATTTAGTAATTCGCTGGGAGGGCACATGGTCGTGGGTTTTTGTCAAAGCCAGTGCCATCAAAATATTGGAGAGGACGGAGGCTCCAAACAGGACGGCCACGATCACCAGCGTCACTTTCCTCGAGAACCGGGATTTGAGTCCCTCTTCCTCTTGTCGCTGGAGGTATGCATGGCCGGTAAGTTCCTCTCCACCGGAATTGCGATGACTAGTCGAGGAATCATCCTCATCTTTGAGCAAGTGATACTTCTCCGGAATCGGCGCCATTATGCAGTTCAGTGATTCAACCGCGAGACTGGGGGCCTTCAATCATTCAACTCCGTCTGAGCAAAGTGGGCTTTCGCACTCGTCTTATACCAAGGACCTAAGAGCGGGGAGGGAGGTGGTCAGCAACGATCGATCCACCATGGTTAGTACCGCGCCCAACCTCTCATCTCTTCCTCCATTGGCGTATGTTGGAGGGGTCTCATGCAATCGGAAAATTCACTCGCAAGGCTTAGAAGAGACTGACCAAGGGTTTCTCCATGACAATCCTGATTGTAACCACTCCCATTGGGCGTGGTGGCCATTCAGCTTCGGAACGGAGAATTCGGGAAATTCGGTCTTAAATGGGTAGCCTCTAGGGCGTCTTGGCTCCTCTTTGACTTATCAAACAGCATGATTTCTGCTCAATCCCTGCTCGGCGGCAGAGGGATTGGGAGGTGGCAACAGAATTCCTGATCAGAGGAGGATATGTACCGGGATCGACCTGGGTTCATTAGGTATATGGCATACTTGGTATGCCGTCACATTATCTTCCAGGTAACGTGGCTGCACAGAAGGCTTGAATCATTGAAATCAACAGGTCCGATGTCTGCAGAAAGCATCCAGACCCAAGTCAAGAGGAAGAGGAGATGGAGGGAACTCTGGCGACAGAACCGTAGTGTTCTCCTCATGGCCCTGGCTCAACTGATCTCCTCTTTAACCGCCGTAGCTGCCAAACTGCTACAGACGGCAGCTCAAGAGAATGAAGCCCTGAACACAGGACAGGTATGTTAACCAGACTCAGACGAAAAGTGGCAATCCAACTGATCCCGGGCCAAAGGTTCTTATCACAATGATGAGCTTCGTAATAACTCTGAGCTGGCTCTGGATACTTATCGCCCGAATCCCCGGCGTGCCATTTCGCAAAACCAATCTCTGGCTACTGGTGACGCTTCGAAGCATCACAGGAGTCTTTGGGAGTAAGTCCTACCATATGTACTAAATGAGAAAGAACCGGGCCGTTAACTTTCCATCGCCGCACTCCTTAGTCTGGGGCTTCTACTATTCTCTACGTGCCCTTCCCCTCTCGGAGGCCACTGTAATCAACTTCCTCTCCCCGATGGTAGCCGCATATGCCTCCAGCCTCCTGGGAAGAGTGCCGCCATTCCCGCGGACGCAGCAACTCGCAATCGCCGTCTCTTTCCTGGGCGTGGTCCTCGTCTCCCAGCCGTGGGAGCACATCCAGTTTGCTGCCACCGACATCCGTCCGGAAACCAGTAATAGGCGCTTCTTCTGCATGGGTGGGATGTGGGGCCTCCCTCATTCCACAGAGACCAGGTCGATCGAGCGGATTGCGGCCGTAGGAGCCGGTCTGGTTGGCGTCGCAGGCGGGGCCGCCGCCTACGTCGTGATGCCGCTGATCGGCCAGGATGCGGATCCGGCGGTGACGGTGAACCATTTTGCGACCTGGGTCGTTGGGTTGACCGCGTTGAGCTTGGCCATCACCGGTGTTGACGCGTGGAGGATGCCCCATCCGGCGGAGTGGGCGCAGCTGGTGTTTCTGGGGGTGTCTGGGTTTATCGTCCACATGTTGCTAGCCACGAGTATGCAGCATGGAAGCAGCCCCCGGACGTTGAGTATGGTTTATATCCAGATTGTGTTTCTCTTGATCATGGATGCGGTGATGTGGGGCGAGAGTCCGAGCTGGGTGAGCATGGGTGGGGGGATGTTGATTCTGGGCAGTGTGGTGACCACTATGATGCTCAATGGGCGCAGGGAAGACGGGGCAGCATGGAAGCAGAGATCCAGGAACGAAGTAGCTGATGGCGAGGGAACCGAGATGGTAGCTGCAAAAGATCACCAGGAGTCATCATTCGCTTAACAGTGTATCAAATCCTATATGAGTTTTGTTTCTGCAACTGATTCTTCTTGATTATCTCGAACCCAAGGCATTAACTGTTCCCCCCTCCCCCCAGTCTTACTATCTACCCAATGATCAATCTTTCATTGCTCGTTTAGAAATCAAAGGACTGGACCCTTGCACTCGTGCGTAATGATTGGCGTCGATGCACGCTTGCCTCGACTTTAGGACAGCAGGTTGCGTCCGCTGAATCATCTCCGACTCATACTCCTGGATGATGTCCTCCAGCTCCGTCGGGCTCTCCCCCTTCGTGCTAGCAGTTAAAAGCCTAATGAGCACCGAGACATCAATCACCCCATGATTAGCCGCTTCTCCGCGAACTGCGTTTTCTCCGTTAGCTTTTCCTCGGCCCAAAGCCATAATACACCCATAAACCAAGGGAAGCTCGGACTTACACATTGTCATCCCGTGTGCCGCATCACCCACCAGCGTCACCGTTCCTTTACGATGCTCCCACGCATCCAACCTCGGCGGCCAATCCTCGAGCACAATCTCCCTCAACTCCGTCTCAGGTGGCAGATCATAGACTAGCTGCCGAAAGGGGCTCGGCCCAGTCGGCCGCCAACTTGCGTATCCAGGCCAAACGGTCAGCATTGCTCTCGGGCATCTCCGTCGGGGTCTCCTGGCCCAGGAATCCCGGCTGATAGGGCCAGCTCATCATGATCTGGCAGGTGGCATGGGTGTCCAGATCCGTGAGCCGCGGGAGATGGATGAAGGAGAACCAGAAATACACATTTGTCTGGGGATCACCGCCCTGGAAGAAATGTACGTCTATAGGCTCGCAGTGCTGGCGCACCTTTTCCACAGGATACAGTACGCGCAGCCCGATCAGGCGCACGGGGAGCCGATGCGGCATGGCGATGGCTGGACAAAGGAGGCGACGGACCATCGAGCGCGCCCCGTCGCAACCCACAAGCAGGTCCCCCGTGGCGCTGCTCCCGTCGGTGAAATGCGCCGTCACCGAGGAGTCACTAGGGTGAGTGATGTCGGCGAGTTTCTTGGACCACTACCGCTTGAAATGAGCCATTGGGCGAGAGGGCATGACAACGATGGGCGGATCGTACCTGAATGGCCAAATTCCTCATCAACAGCGCCAGCAGTTTCTCGCGGGAGACTCGCGAGGCGGCGTTGGCAGGAATCGGCCAGGACTCCTTCGGCTTCCCTGTTCGGAGATCGAGAAACTGGAATTTGCCTGGATTGCCCTGCTCGGCAGCGCCAGGATTGACCAGGCACTCGCTGAAGCTAGCCAGAATGTCTGGGGGCAGAATGTTATGCAGATCGGTGAGTGCCCAGTGGATGGTGAGGCTCCAACCTGCCCCGCGAGCGAAGGCATACGGATCTCGCTCGTAGATCGAATACGAGTATCGCACTTGACTGTTCGCCGCATTCTGAGTCTGACTCAAATATCTCAACGCCTGAGCCAGGATCAGCCCCGTTAGTCCTGCGCCCACGATGAGGATGTGTTTATGGCTCGTTTCGGAGGTGATCATTTTGCTCTCTCTCTCTGTCTGCCTATCTATGTGTTGCACTTCGTTTCAAGTCCCCTTGTCCGCGGCATAGAGTATATAATGCAGGATGTGTGGGATGATTCAATGTCACCTACAATGGCCGGGAAATTGAGAGCAAATCCTGCCGAATAATCCGGTCCAGGCCCGCAAAGTCGGGATATTGCTTCTGCCATGAAACGAGGACCAAGAGCTTGGAGTCCAGAGCAGCCTCAATTCGGGAAACCCGAGGCTGATCCGGCTGCAAAGCCATATGTCCATACCACCAGTGCTGCGAAGTACATCACCCACGGTCGATGGAGCAGGTAGTCATCGCGCGCGGCATACTCCCCTGGCGGGGTATTCGGGTCTGAGAAACACGAGGACAAGAACTTGAGCGCGTAGAACGTGGCATCCCGTGCCGACGCCTTGGTCGCTCATTTCTCTGTCTTCTCTCGTGCCAGTGCGAGCTTACATATATCCAAGCGGTAGTTAGTGGTAGTACGGTAGTGGTGGCTGACATTGTCAGTTCGAAACACCCGAATAAACAAGACTTATTTGCAATATCGTTTGAATTTACGGATCTATAGACAGAAAACAAAGAATCAAAGTTGAATCGACTCTCTTCACGAATGAACCATGATACTATTTAGATCTAATCCTCGCCCACGTAGGGAAACTGAATGGTTGCCCCTCAGCCTCGAGATAGTCATTAATCAAGGGGTCAATGCCAGCCGCCCGAGTTCTCTCGACGTCCTGGAACTCCCCACCATACAGGCGCTCCAAATGCTGGCGGAACTGGTGGATGGGCAGTTTCACGTTTCACTGCGTTAGAGTGATGAAGGAATGAGATCGTCTGGACATCTTCGGCCGCCCGGTCCGAGGGCTGAAGGCGGTTATGAAGAGCCTGGCCTACAATACCCGCAGCAACTTCGTGCATATCGCGAAAGCCCAAGAACCCCTCGTCGAAGCGCGGCACCGGGAGTGAGTAGCGTAGTAGGGGATTCAGTACAGTCGTCACTCGGGCCCCGTGCGACCGTGAGAGCCCATGGCCACTGCACAAAGACCGACAGGCCCGTCTGGTGAGGCACTTTCCCGAGAAACACTTGCTGACCCATTCCGTAACTCTGTAGCCTTCTGGCCCGTCCATCCGGGGTGAATGAGCCGATACAGACACGGCCCTGGAGTTGCAGTGCGGCCGGACAACAGACTCACACGGTTCGAGGAGACGAGATGCACCGGGATTGCCCCTGCTGGAGTACAAGAATAGCTGTATGCGCGATGGGTCACGGTATGTCCAGTGTCGGGCTGAACCCGGAACTCTTTCCTTTGGATGGACATACACGGCGGAGTGTGGAAGCCGAACTCGGCCCTCTCATTGACCATGTTCAACACAAGCCCTACTAGGGCGCGGCAAAAGCCCGAGGCCGAGAATTTACCGCGGGCTGGTTTCGCATTGCGCAGCAGCTCCTGAGCGGCGGCGAAATCATTCCCCATCCGCGTCGAGCGTCGAGAAACCCCGTATTGGTAGCGTAAACTGGTTGACCCAACTCGCACTTTGGGTTGGATTGGTAATGGATATGGGTTAATCCATTGTGTGCATGCGATCTAAGGCCTGCTTATCAAACCATATCTATGATCCATCCATGTCTCATCCACCGGGCCGCAGGCCCGGCAAAATCTTGTAAGATATATACCTCTTCATACAAGAGCGCTACCGGGCCTTCGGCCCGGCCACAATGAATGGGCGAAGTAAGAGGTGAAGGGTGTACGTGTAAGGGCAAATACGTAAGTAAGTCGAAGAAGAGAACTGGATATGTGTATGGAGGAAACTACGTAGTATTATTACCTATGCATTTGAAACAGATAGTGAACGTACGAATTTGGGCTGTGCATGTGTCAGTAAGCGAAACTGTTCTATGCAACGGGTGTTAGGGAGCTTCCCGTCAACTGGCAAAGCTCCAGGCAACTGGGAAGCCTACCGGCAACTGGCAAGGCTATATGAATACCAATTGCCCGAAGATTTCCACGGCGACACGTGCCGCGTCTGAGGCGACAATATTAGGCTGTGCGAAATGAACGGGGGGAGTCACGGGCAGACGCGGAGATGGAAGCAGCGCGCGGCAGGAAGCCACTGGGAAGGCACAGGTCGAGAAGAGACTACCGGGCCAGCGGCCCGGGTAGAGATGGAGGACACGTGTAGAGTCGGTTTGTAAATGAAGAGAGAGAGGGCAGAAGTACGCGTGAAAGTGACAGGGAAGAAGAAGATGGGAAGAATGAAAGAAGAGAAGAGGCTAATAAGAGGGATAAGACAGAAGTACGCCCGGCAGAGAGCCAGTGGTTCAGAAGGAAGACGGTGCAAATGAAGCCATGCGAATGAACGTACAGCAAAAGTAAGAGATTGGAGCAGCGTAAGCTGAAAGCGCGGCAGAAAGTCAGTGGCCGAGAAGCAGCACCGTGCGAATGAAGTGTACAATATCATCATGTAGGCAATGAACACTGACGGGCAGACGTAGAGATGACCGCGTCTGTGTTAATTGACTACATGATGAGACTGTCGCGCGGCTTGTCAGGCAATGAACGCAGAGGTAGTTAGGGGCAGACCAAGACTCTGAAGCAGGGGGCGGCAGGAAGCCACTGGTGAAGAAGCAGCACCGTGCGAATGAAGCGGACACTATCATGATGTAGTCAATGAACACAGAAGGAGTCAAGGGCAGACGCAAAGATGGAAGCAGCGCGCGGCTTATGACGTGGGCAATGAAGGCAGAGGGAGTCATGGGCAGACCCATAGACAAAAGCAATGTGCCGCGGGAAGGGAGTGACGGAGAAGTGGTGGCGTGCGAATGAAGCGGACAGTAAGATGAAGTAGTCAATGGACAGTAACGGACAGAGGAAGAGATGGAAGCAGCGCGCGGCAGAGAGCGAGTGCTTGAGAAGGAAGACGATGCAAATGAAGTGGACACTATTATGAAGTAGTCCATGAACACGGAGGGGAAAAGTGTTAGGAAAGAAAGTATAAGGCAGAAAGTGGTGTTAACGGTGAGGCGAATAGAGGAGAGAGGCGCAGAGCTGAGTGGAGTTTGTGGATAATACGGAGGAAAAGAGGAGGGAACAATGAAGGAAGAGAAGATTGCAATAAGAGAGAGAGGGCAGAAGTACGCGTGAAAGCGACAGGGAAGAAGAAGGGAAGAATGAAGGAAGAGAGGCTAATAAGAGAGAGACGCATCAGTGGATTGAGGTTAACGATGGGAGTTGCGGGCGGAGGCGCATGCGCCCCGTACGATGTACATAACAAGCTGGATTCGAACCGAGGAGGGACTGCTTGCCCACAGGGGCGAGGCGGCCAGCCGCCTTTCAGAGTAAGAATATAAATAAATAATAAGAGAGAGACGGTAGAAGTGGACGTACAGCGAACTATCATCATGTAGGCAATGAAGGCAGAGTGTGTCACGTCCACGCGCGCAGAGAACACCGCCTCAGAGTTCATTGACTACATGATGATAGTGTTGTGCGGCTTGTGATGTAGACGATGAACGCAGAGGGAGGCACGGCCAGACGCTGAGAAGGAAGCAGCGTGCGGCGAAAAGCGCCTGGTGGAGAAGAAGAGCCGGGCAAATGAACGTACGGCAAATGTGAGAGATGGAAGCAGCGCGCGGCTGGAACACAGAGGGAGTCACAGCCAGGCGCATAGACAAAAGCAGGGCGGGGCAGGAAGCTACTGGTGGAGAAGAAGTAGCGTGCGAATGAACGTACCGCAAAAGTAAGACGTCGAAGCAGGGCTTCGCAGAAAGGCGGTGGTCGAGAAGCAGTATCGTGCGAATGAACATCCAGCACAACCGAGATATGGAAGCAGCGCGCCGCTGAAAGGCACAGGTGAAGAAGCAGCACTGTGCGAATGAAGGCGACACAATAGCGGAGCAAGAGACAAAGGCAACGCGCGGGAGGAAGGCAGTGGTGGAGCATAAGTAGTGTGGGAAAGGACGTAGAATGGGCACGATTTTGATGAACTCACCTCCAAGGTTGCGTACCCATTCGCGTCTGTCAAGTCATTGCGGGGACGACCCTTGCGGTTAGCTCCGGAACGGCCATGGGTGTCACGCCAATGCCTCTTCATGGCCGTTTGGGTGCCAACCACATACACACATTCAGGATCCAAGCGGCATCGAATGCCGTTCGTGCGGACGGTAACTACCCGTAAGCGGAGAGGAAGACGGAGACAGGAAGACGTGAGAAACAGTAAGGAAAGAAGAGAAAGGCACGGGTAAGAGTGAGAGAAGGAAGAAAAAGGAAAGGAAGAGGAAGAGGGTTTGAGCAAGAGCAGAGAGATAGTTGTTGCAATTTTTAACGTCCGGCGGCAGCCAGGTGAGAACCCTGCTGCCTTAGGCCTCCCATGGGGCATGCAGACGTGGCAGAGAGATAGTTAGTACGGCAGAAGTACGGAGTAGGAATGAAAGAGAGAAACCTAGGCAGAAGAAAGAACGAAAGATTAGATGGGTTGGACGGCAGAACTACCCGTAAGCGGAGAGGGAAGACGGAGACGAATGAAAGAAGAGGAAGAGGGAAAGAGAAAGGACGAATCAGAGAGCGCGAGGATGCAGTGTGCAGTACCAAAGAACGCGAAAGCAGGCGGTCAGAGGGAGTTGACGAATGAGAGGGAGGGAAAGGGAACGAAACGGGTAAGTAGTGGGGAGGGGAGTGGAGCCGGGAGTTAAAGGATATACAGAATGGGAAGGGGGGAAAGTGGAGAAAAGCTTAGTGAATGTACAAAGATGAATATAACTACATAGTTGATTACCTCCTAGTGAAGAGGGGAACGCTCAAGGCTGTGTGCTCTGAGGCACACGGGTCGATTCAGCAGATACCGGCTAGCATAGACATCGGACCAGAGGTAGCAAAGAGGTTGGGCGGTTGCGCACAAGCAGTCAAATATGAGATGTGTAAGGAGTGTGTGTTGCTAAACTAGGGCTATCTGAGTATTAAGACTCCCAAATCTCGAGAATGCCGACGTAAGTGAACAAGGAGTGCCCGAACAGGGTAAGTCAGACTGTAGGGGGAGGTCACACCTCCCCACTACACTAGGTACCTTTCATCCTAAATTTGGGCGGCACGCGGACACCCATTGTCCCCTATGTAAGACTATTCTACCTTCTATTAGTTATATATGATACGTATATATCCATATCAAATCCGCAACCAGTTCTACTCTGTAGAAGAGCGTGATTGGCGGCATGGACGCCATGCTCCGTTAAACTTGTGTGTCACATTAACTTAACTAACCAAGAATTACATAAATTACATAATACCTAGGTACGTACCCGTAATGTAAGGGCCTCAGATTCCACCATGACAAGGCCGGTGGATGTTAGCAGGGGTCAAACAACGCTAGGCTGTCTTCTCCTGCAGTGCTCTCCTTCTTTCTTTTTGACTCTTTCTTTCTCTCCTCTCCCAGCCCGTTCTCTGTCTCTATCCGTTACTCGTGAAGCATCCACACCCCATCCGTCATGGCGGGTTCCATCCAGAAAAACATGATGTTGATACAGAAAGGTGAGTCTTCCGTTGTATCATCCACTCCCCCCTTCGTTGTGTTTGATGTCAGCTGATGAACAGTCCCCAGCGTCGTCTATGCTCGGTTTACGCCGCGCCGCAGTAGTATCCCCGTCTACTAGGCCTATCATGGGTCTGGTGTGGCAACAACAAGTCCGGTATGATATGCAGAAGATTGAACGTGGATATGTATTAACCAACCCGACTCTTGCCTCTAGAATGCAGACCACAAAGCCCGTCACAACACCACTAAGAGTGATCAAGCCGGAATTCGCCCAGGAAGAACTCGTTCGCCAACGCCTCCGGCGGCCTGTAGCGCCCCATTTGGCCATCTATAAATGGCAGGTTCACTCGGTCAGCTCTGCTATGGAGCGAAACACGGGACTTCTTCTCGCCGGCGGCCTGTATCTCTTCGGCACCTCCTACCTGATAGCCCCCTGGCTCGGCTGGGATCTGTCGTCAGCCGCCCTCGTCGCGGCCTTTGGCTCTTTGTCGGTGGCCACTAAGGTCATCCTTAAGTTCTTCGTCGCCTGGCCCTTCACCTTCCATCTCTTTAATGGTATCCGGTATATTATCTCCTCTACCGGATACACGCTGGATAGTAAGTCTCAGTTTATCAAGATCGCATGGGCGGTTATCGGCTCATCGGCGTTGGCTGCCGTCGGCTTGGTGGCTTATGTTTGAGGGAGGTGGCATTCATGGCAAAGTTCGTTGGCTAGATTTGTGTTTCAAAGAAGAGAGTAGTCATCCAGTACATGTAGTTATTCAAAGAGGATTACACAATTTGCTAGACAGGCTTTGTAGCAAGACCGAGACGAGACCTGAGTGGCTGGCATCTACTATTCGCTTTTAGAAGTCATTTTGTGCACCTTGGAATATCATACCCGGTTTGAATGTATATAAACATTCTTAAAGTCACCTCTCTACCGCCTAAGAGAGAATGTCGAGGGCTA